GAACACAAGTCGAGAGATCAGGACTAGTAGCGGGGTGTACTAATGGATATAACGTGTCTGATTGGCAGATGAGGTTTAAAAGACAAGGTAGGAACACAAGTCCGAGAGATTGGGACTAATAGCGGGATGTACTAAGGGATATAACGTATCTGATTGGCAGATGAGGTTTAAAAGACAAGTTAAGAACACAAGTCCGAGAGATCAGGACTAGTAGCGGGGTGTACTAATGGATATAATGTGTCTGATTGGTAGATTGGGTCTAAAAGACAAGGTAAGAACACAAGTCTGGGAGATCGAGACTAATAGCGGATAACAACACAAGCCTGAAACACGTAAAATAAAAAATATAAACTGTTTATTGGTATATTTTTTATGGCCATCTCAGCAGGCCGCAAGGGCCTCCGCAACAGCGTGCGACATCATGACCATTCGCCCTACGGCCACCTCTCGGGGTAGTCGCACCTCCCGGCTAGTCTCTGTTGGAACCGTGTAGTCGTCCGGCACCGGGCGCACGTTGTCGAGCCCGCCCTGTACCTTTAGCCATTCGTGCGTCTCGGGGTTGTGGACAAGGTCCACCGCAATGTCGTCGCTCCGCACGGCCCCCATGTACGTTGCGTTCTCGATCCCGGCAACCCCGCTGGTCTCGGCGCCGACTACAAGGCAGTTCGCAGCCCGGCTCTGGGCCTTGTAGCCCACCACTATGGAGCCCGAGGCCTCGCTTGACGCCCCAAAGCCGACGACCACGCCCCCGGGCGGGTTGCTGGGGATCATGGCTCCTATCGAGGTGGACGACTCCGTCCTACCAGTCGCAGAGTCACTCGAGCCGGCCGCGCACGAGTAGCCCACAGCCAGGGCCTGTGGTCCGAGGTCCTTGAACCCCGCGTACGCGCCTATGGCCGTGGAGCGGGCCCCGAGAGACGTCTTGCCGGCGTACGCCCCGAGAGCCGTGCTGTAGATGCCCTGCTCGGCGCACCCCGCGTATGCGCCTACGGCCACCGTGCCGTCGCCCATGTCCGTGAAAGTCCCCAGGGCCCCACAGGTCCCGATTGCGACCCGGTCTGCCGCCGACAGGCAGCTGGCCCGACCGAGGTGGATTGTCGACGCGTCCTGCAGGCACCAGGCCTTGTCCCTGACCACGATCGTGTCGCCGTCT